TTGAATCGAATGTGCAGATTGAAAAAAAAACATTCGAAAACAGGTGGCGCAACAGGTCCCATTTGTTTTTTTTTTTTTTGCATGTGCAAATGTGTATGCTGTGTTTTGCAGACGTTAAGTTCTTGTAAATGTTTTTTTTTTTTCATTATTCATCATCATCACCGCCACTACTACCACCACCAAATTCGATATACCAAAATACCATTACCATCATCATCTATCCAACATCTATCCAACAACAACATCATCCAAAACGACCAAAGAAGGGAGAGAGAGAGAGTTCTGCTTCGTCAGTCGTTTGAAAAAAAGAAAAAGAAAAAATATTCCAACAAACACTACCATCAACCAATCTCATCTCATTCAATCCAATCCAGTAAAAAACTAAACAAAAAACAAAAATGTTCTCATGAAACATCGGTCGGTATCATCATCATCATCATCAACATTCGTCGTCATTCGAAATTCGATTTAGTTATTCGAAACATCTTTGATTTTGCCAAAAAGTTCGAATATTTTTCTTTGCTTTTCTAAAAGAAAACCAAAATTTGTTCCTGGAACAAATTCTTTTGTCCAATCAATAATCATTGATTTTGGGTATTTTGTTTTATCATTTTGAATCATCATTTTCTAAACAACATGATAATCATCATCATTTGATGATTAAATCACGTGTTTTTCTTTTTCTGGTTTCATCATCAATCGGCAACAACAATTTTGGATCTCTAATCAAATGAACATTTTCATTGCAATAATCAACCAACAGAAAAATTATTGATTTTGAACATCGGATAAATTTCCGGTAAGTAAATTTTTTCTATTTTTGTTTGTTGAGAAATTTTCCGGTCAAATGCGAAAAATTCGAATTTCCAAGAAAAATTTCGAATTTCCAAAACGCTGTGTACCTTTTTTTTTCTTGAATTTCCTTTTTCTTCTCGATTGTTGATCGAAGACAATGACATCGAACACTGTACCATAGGAATGTTTGATTTCACATCTTTCCTTTTTTTTTCATTATTTTTGCAAAATTCGGCAACATTACTCACCATCTATTCAAGCTAACCGGCCGATTCTACAATCTGCATCGGCAATCCATTGAACTGAGCTGAAAAAAAAGTTGATGATTGCCCATTGCTCCAATAGAGTGAGCAAGTAAAAAAAAGAGAGATAGATATAGAGATATTAGAGAGCGAGAGAGGTTTTTTTTTATCGAAAAACGGGCGCGACCAGTTGGTAAGCATCAAACAAGTGTTGCTTTACTATTTTTCTAAGTGTGTGTGTTTGTGTGTTTGATGCAAGGAATGGGAAAGGAACATTCACCAACAAACGATAATAAATGGTACCGTCCCGAAAAAGAAAAAAAAATTTGCTTTCAAAATTGAAATAATAATGATTTTTGGAGGTCGTCGAACGCATGACCGGCCTAGGAAGCTTTTATTTTTTTTTTGTTTCGAGTTTTTTTTTGCAAATAGCGATCAAGTCAAGTGTATTGAGTGTGTATGGTTCGAATGTTTCATGCTGACATCGATTATGACTGACTACCACGACCACGACGGGTCGGTTGAATTGGTCTGCTGTGTTTTGTATTGGTGAAATGATGAAACAAACCAAACCAAACTAACCAATAGAGCAACAGGTGACATCGTCTTTTGTCGACATTCAATAAAGTCAAGTGGTGTGTGTATTTAGTCTGTGTCTGTGTGTTTCCCACAATGTTTTTTTAGTTATTATCAAATGGCAATGGTAGAGGTGGCGGTATGTCCAGGTGATATTATGGCAGAGACAAGGGGATAACACACCTGTTGGACTTTTTTTGATTCGATCGGTCGATTTGATTTTTTTTTCTGATTCGTATGATGTATGATCCACAACAATCTCATAACAAAAATCAATCGATCGATTTTTTGTTTTGTTTTGGGTTGAATGGTTGGTTGGTTTGTTTCGTTTGATATTGATCATCGACAAGTTCGATGGCTGGATTGATCTTGTTGAAAATTTTCAATAAAAATATCCACCATGAAAAATGGTCATGAATAGAGAATGAACAAAAACGAGTAAAAGGAAAGATATCATTCGAAAAAATTCGCCCGGATTAGATGATAAAAACGCCATTAGTTGTAGCAGTAGTAATGGTGGTGGCTGCCAAAATGGTTTTTTCCCATCCATCCATCCCAACCAAACAATAATCTTGACATTCGATCGGATAAGAATTGAAATTTTTATTCGTTTCGTTTCGTTTTTGTTTGTTGCTTGGATATCAAAATAGCAAAACAAAACAAAAAAATCTCAACCAAAATGAAGCCGACGCCTCATTTTGTATCCTAGATTTTTTTTTTGTTGGTTGCAATTTTGCATCTCAAAATTACCAAAAAAAATTTTTATGAATGTTGTCGTGTATCACTTGTGTAACCTTTTATAATTTTTTTTTTGTTTTTTGCCATTGAAGAAACTTTTGTTGAATTTTGATACCAGAAAGAAAACTTTTTTCCTTGTTCAATAAATAATTAGTATAGTCATGTTTGAACATCATCATATACTTTACTGTGCTTTGCTTTGGTGGTGAATCTAATACATTTTGAAGGAAGTAGTCGATCTTGGATTTCAATTTTTGTCTTTCTCTTTCTGTTTTGCTAATTGCCCAATTTTGTTTCCATTTCAATTTTGTGAAAAAAAGAAACTTTTTTTTCTTTTTTTTGATTATTTGATATTGATTGGTGATGATCATAAATCATAAATGGATCAGTTCCATTGAATGTGTGATGGTAACATTTATATCGATTTGATAATGAGAATGAGATAGGCAAAGACTTTGTACCAAAAAAATTATTTTGGATCCGATTCAAAAAAAAACCATTAAACAAGCAATTCATATCAATTTTTTAATCAAATAATGATGATCCGATGATGAAACGAAACATCTTTTTTCTAATTTCATTTTTTCCCCCATCTCTTTCTTTTCGTTCAGTTTCCCTCTCATATCTATCAGAATGATAATTTTTGGTCTTTTTTTTAACCAGAAATTCGGTTATATTTCATTTTCATTTTTGTTCAAAGTTAATAAAACTTCACCGTAACGTATACATAGTAGTGAGATAGAGATAGTGTGAAACAACATCCTTATTTCATTTCACATTTTTTTTTTCGTTGTTTTGTTCAATGATTTTTTAAAGCATCATTCTCGTCTCATTTTTTGCTTCTTCGTTCGTTCGTTCGTTCTTCATTGTTGGTTGTTCTTGTTGGGAGAAAGCATCATCAAATTATCAAAAAAAAAGTCACGACTACAACAACGAACGAATAAACGAAGACGACAATGACGATGACAACGGCAAATGATAATGTGTGTGTGAAGACCAAAATCTTTGTATGTATGGTGTATGGATGGATTGATGTTTGGTTGGTTGGTTGGTTCGGTTTGGTTTTTTTTTGGTTTGGTTTTTGTTGGCGTATATGGTATGTATGTGTATGATGCACATATGCACCAAAATGATGATCGTTTTTCGCGTTTCATCCCACCAAGAAACTCTCCATGATGATCATGATGATGATTGTGAGGAGGATGATGACGGCGTCTTTCGTTTTTCATTTCATCATTTTCTTTTCTTAATATTCGTTCATCATCATCGCATTACCAAAAAAAAAAAAAAACCATTGCACCGCAAGCAATGTGGATTGTGTGAGTCGAAGTTCTTTTATTTTCTTCTCTGGTTGATCATTGTCGTTCGTTCGTTCGTTTTTTTTTCGCTGGTTTATCTTTCGAAAAGTACCATTGTAAAAAAAATGTTCTAGTTTTTCTTTTTCTTTTTTGCTATACTCTCCCCCTCCTCCCACCAATAAGTATTTGGTTTGTGGAAAGATATTTCAAATAAGATTTGCACTAATATCCAAAAGATGCTTTCCATTTTTGTTTTTTTTTGTCATCATTTATTTCACCGTCATCCAAGATTTTTTTTCATGATGTTTCTATTTTGAATTTTGAAAAATCTTTCCACGTTCCTCCCATTCGTTAGTCTTTAGTATATTCGTGGTAATTTTTTTTTTTAAAGAAAAATTCATATGCCAAGTGTTAAATGGTGACAAATATTCAACACACGAATATTTCCGATTCTGAAAAGAATTTCTCATTTCTTTTCTGGATTTTTTAAAGAATTCTGCTATTATAACGATTATAACCTTGTTTTAATTTTGTGTTTTTTTTTTCTTTCTTTCATTTATTTACATAGAAGAAATTATACATAGATCTCCGTAAATAATTCAAACCATAAAATGCCTTTTTTACTTAATCCAATCATCTAATCAAATTGATCAAAGAGAGACTGTATTTGAATTTGGAAAAATTTTCACTTATTCTTCAAAACAAAATTGAAATCTGATCAGTGAAATCAAAAAAAAAAAAAATGAATTGTGAACCAACAAGTCTTTTAGCCGGTCATCATAATAATCATCATCAACATCATTCATCATCAATTGAATCATCACCATCACAACAACCATTACCATTAACAATAACGAATGAATCACCAATTGGATCATCACCACAACAATCAAATGATGATGGTGATGATCCATTTGATGATCAAAATGGTATTGAATCATCATCATCATCATCATCATCATCAAATGAAGATGAATCATTATCGGGTATGAATTTAACAATAAATAAATCAAATTCAAGTACAAATTCAAATATCAATGGTATTGGTGGTGGTAGTTCATTAATATCCAATCAACATAATTTAACAAAAAGGCCTTCACTTATGAATCATAATCAACAACAACAACAACCACATCATATCAATATGAATGTTTCATCATCATCATCACCAATACAATCATCATCATTTGATACAAATAATAATAATAATAATCGAAATAGTCATAAAATAAAAATCTCATCGTCCGATTTTTCACCATCATCACATAATAATAATAAGCAACAACAGCAATCACAACGTAAATCAAAATCATACCATTTTAATAATAATCGATTATTTGATAATAATAATAATAATTTATCAATAATGAATTCATCATCATCAGATTTAACACAATTATTACTTGAATATAGACAAGTATTATTGGATGTACTTATTAAATCAATGAAAATGAATAACAATGATGATAATAATAATAATGATGATGTAAACAATAATAATAATAATAATGATACAAAAATTCATAAAGGAATAATATTACCGGTTAAATGTCAATGTGGTTATACATCAGAATTAAGTAAACAGATAACACGTACATCAACATATGTACATCAATTGGAATTAAAATTTCGTGCATTTTTAGAAACAATGAAATCAACATCGACAACAACCGCAACAACAACAACAACATCAACGTCAAATGAATCAAATCGTTATACACCTAAACGTCCATGGTTTATTGATTCATCATCGGCATTTACTGGTGGTGGTGGTGGTGGGGGTATAGCTGATTTAAGTGGTTCGGGTTTAATTGGTTCAACAAAGATGTCTTTGTTGGATAAGAAAATATTTCAAAGAATGTCTACGAAAGATAAACAACAACCAATTTCATTATTTTCTGGCAATAGTAGTATCAATAGTAGTCTAAATGATGATGATGATAACGATGATGATGATTTAGATATTGATTCGGATATTGATGATAATAATATTGAAAATGATAATGATGATAATAATCTATTGGAAAATCTTACCAATAATAATAATCTCATGTATAATGATGGCAATAATTCAATTGTTGATGATATTATCGGAACTGGTAGTGTTGGTGGTAAAACAATATTGGAAGGTTATCTTAAAAAAATGAATGAAATAACTAAAATTCCAAGTGAAGAATGTTCAGATGATGATAATGGTGATAATAATAATAATGTCGTTGGTGGTGATCATCATCATTCAATGAACAAAAATAATCAACAACAAAATCATCTTGTTCATCATGATGATGATGAAGAAGAACCAGATGGTTTATCAATTGCAGCAGATGAAGATTTTCATCGAGGTTTGTTTTCTTTTCTTTTTTTAATTTGGATCTATTGTGTGTAACAATTCTTTTTTACAAAATCAGGACCAGGAAAACGTATCGATCTTAAAACAAAAAAATTAGTCGTACAAATGAATATGAATGGTGCAAGCTATACTGATATTAGTCGTCAAATTGGAATCAGTCGTAAATCGGTTCGAAGAATAATATCCAATTATAAAACATTTGGTTTACTTGAAAAGAAAAGAGGTAAGATTATTGTTAAATTTGTTTTTTTTTTGATTTTGAAATTGTTGTTGCTATCATTTGTATAATTCATTCCATAAATTCCAAACAAAAAAAATCATAGAATCACGTAATCGTAAAGGTATGCATGTTCTTTATAAAAATATATAATTAAAATAATAATTAGTTATGAAAAAAATGTTTTATTTTTAGTTTTAATATTCTAATTATTGATCGATTTTCTTTTTCTTTTTCTTTTATTTTCAGTATCAACGAATGGCAATTTGAACAATTCAATAATAGCTAATAATAATAATAATAATGGTGGTGGTGGTGTCAATATGGCTAATATTCTTAATGGTCGAATGATGGCCGATTCTTATAATGATTTAGCTAATAATGATGATGATTTAGATGATGAAAGAGAAATGATTGTCGATGATAATCAAGGTGGTCATGGTGTTGGTGGTGGTGTCGATGATGATGATCAAGATTCGGATGTTGATGGTTTGTTTTCCGGATTTTATAATTGAATTCATTTTATTAATCTGTTCAATTTCATTTACTTTTTTTAGATAATCATAATCATCGTCATGTAAAAAATGAAATGGCAATGAAAAAACAAGAAATTGATGCAAATTTTCTTAATCAATTATCATTGTTTCAAAAAGCAATGCAAGCATCACAACAGCAACAACAACAACAACAACCACAAATAAATAGATCTTCATCAAAACGTAATATGAGTCTTATTCAACAAGTACCATATAATCATCATAATAAATCAACAACAAATGGTTCACATAATAATAATAATAACAATCATCATAATCGATTATCGTTGATAAAGCCACCGGATCGATATAAACCTTATGATCTCAAAGTTCGACCTCATAATAGCAATAATAATAATAATAATGGATCAAATAATGAATCATTTGCCACACAGCAAATACATCCTACACATCGTATCTCAAAATCGCATCCAATTGTGCCACCACTTCCACAATCAACAAATATTTATTCGAATGTACAACAACAACAAAGATCATCGCATCAAAATCTAAAATTGTATAATAACAATCATCTCAACAATTCAAATAACAACAACAACAATAATAATAATAATCATTTTGAACGAGATAATGAAAATTCATTAATACGACATCCGAAAAGTAAATCAAATCGTCAACATTCTGTTGATATGTCTTTCAAAGAAAGTTTGACCGTACCAGAAGCTGATAAAAATAATAATACAACATTGAACAATTGTAATGTAACAATAACAAGTACCTCAAAACCAGCTTTGAATGGCAATTCAAATCAGCCATTAGATTTGGGTAATATTACCATACCACAAATACCTGCATCGATGGTCGATGGTTCTACTGATTCAGATGCTAATCTTGTGCCGAAAAATTTTATCGATGGTCAATTTCCAGCTGGAATCAGTAAGTTTTTATTTTTTTTGTCTGCATAAAATCTGATTGCTATAATGTTATTTTTGTCATCACAGTGAACTCACTGAATCCGAATCGTGCCACTAAATTGACATTGGAAGATTTCAATATTGTATGGCATTTACGATCTCAACACTGGACACATAATCAGATACGAAAATATTTTCAACAAAGAGGAAAAAGTATTTCCAAATCATCAATATCACGCATAATGAATGGTAAACAACGAAATTTTCAACAATTTTTCAATGTTGTACCATCAAGTAATACAACTTATTGAAAAAAGCGATGTAACTGATAGTTTGAAAAGCGAATCATTATTTTTTTTTTCATTATCATCCTTATGTTCTCACGCTTCATATTGCTCTAGCCATTATTAATATTTTATAACACTTTAAACAAACGTGCATTCATTGTGTGCCTCAACCATATTCACTTCACTCACATCATTTTCATTACTATTATGGTGAAATATTTTCTCATCAAAAATAAATCAAAACATTCATATTCTCAAACCATCAATTCATCAAAATCTCATTAATTATAATGATGATGATTATGAAATGAGACTTAATTTATTTTAATTATTATTATTATTGCTCACAGCATTAATTTCATACAACAAAAAAAACTATATACACACACACCTCCCACATGATCATTTGAGCTTGTTGATTATTCTAAAAATTATTATCAGAATTTAGATTGTGCATTTGTTGCAATAATAATTTGTTTCACTCACCATACATTTGTAAAATAAGTGACAATTGAATGATGCCAACAATTCTTCAATCACAACAAAAAATTCACAAAAATCATTGTTTTTTTTTCTTGTAAATATTTTTCTTTTCAATTCTAACAAATTCATCAGCTTTTTTTTTTGTTTCTGGTAAATTTTAGTACCTAACATATAGCACATCCATTTAACACACACACTCACACACAAAGTGATTCATGATTGAAAATATTCTTTATTTCTATTCAATCACATCTATCTTTTTTAATTTTTTTCCTGGGCCCGGGCATTTTCTCTGATTCCATTTCCACAATGGTATTAGATTGTGTGTAATCATTTTTGTTTTTCATTATGATTTCTTTCTTTTTTAATCATATGAAAATCTTTTTCTTTCACAACAATTTATTTCTGTATTTCAATTCATTTTCCTATTATTATTATCATTATTATGAATATGATATGATTATTTTATTGATTTTTTCCATTCAAAAAAAAATACTTAATTTATTACTTTAAGTAAAATCTTTTTTTTCGAAACTCACTAAAAAATACACACATTGTCAATTTGAAATTTGAATTTTTTTTTAAATTTATTCATAAAACTAGATGGCAGCACAGTACGCTTACCATTCACAAAATTTGCATAAAATCAAAAACAAATTACCTTAACACAAGTGCAAGTATCAATAATTTCAAAAATTTTATTTAAAAATCATTAAAATCCCTACTTGATCGGGAAAGGTTGAGAATTTTACATGGATAGAATTACGAACAAAATAAAATGGCCTAAAATTAATCGATGATACAGATTACAAAAAAAATGGATGGGGTCATGAATCGATTAGAATACAGATCAAATTAAGCCTTTTTTCTTCTTATATTCATCTAGATTCAATGAACGACGATTTGTTCCAGAATTCGGTAATGGATTGGAACGAGCGACAGAAAATCCATTCGGTTTACTATTGGAAAGTCCGGAAAATAATAACGAAGAATTCTGGCTCGATATCGATGATGAGTTATTATTGTTAAGTCCAAAATCGAGAGTTTCGAAATCAATTTTGATATCAAAATCATGGACACTAAACATGTCGGTATTATCTTTATCATTTTGGCTGGAACTATTCGTTGATTTGCTGTGATTATTCTGACTTAGTCCAGATGAAGCAGTGTTTTTATTTGTATTGATTGAATCAAGCGTATCATTATTTTCATTGGATTCTGCTGAATTTTTTGAAGATTTTTGACTGTCCGTTTCTTTAGATGATTGTTCATTCGTCTCATTAGGTTGTGATTGTGATTGTTTGTTCTTATTAAATACATGGATCATTGTAGGAGCACATTTACGCCTTGTGAATGGATCATCTTTCTGATTTTGAGCTTCTTTAGCTGATTCAGCAATAGCACGTTCAGCTTCTTTAATATTACGCATTCGGTTACGTTCATTAATAAATGAAATCGAAGCTATACTTTGTGTACGTTTTTTGTCTAATTTCTTCGATTCCTCTTCAAGTTTGTCGATTTCTTTGCTGATTTCTATCGCTTTGTCGTGATCACCATTCATTTCAGCAAATTCTTTATCTTTCATCAATTGAGTCTTTTTCATTGCAAAATTGGTTGGCTTATTTTTGAACCGTTCTTTTTCAGCCACGATCAATTCGATATCTTCATTACTGTAATAGAAAACCTTGATGTTATCAATCCAGTTTATTAATGAATTCAACTTACCTATAATTATAGTTGATTGCTTTTTGTATATCAGCTTTTTTACGTTCGACCTGATCTTTGGTTGGAAAGTCACATTTATCTGCAATCATTTTCAAATGCCATTGTTGAAATTCACTCTCAGTGAATTCAGAATTCGATACATATTCTAATCGAAATACTTTTTCAGCATCATTTGCATGTTTCAATTTGATTCCTTTGTTTGTTCGAGTTTTACCCAATGTATAAATTTTGGCCGTTTCGACAATATCAACAATTTGACCAACAATATATTGTGATAATGAGCTATTACCGACACCGATTCGAACAAATGCATGCATAACAGTATCACGAAAGAATGGTGCATGACACCATTTTTCCATTTTAAATCGTGATATACGTATTGAATTTAAATGTTCAATTGTGAAATCAAATTGTTCAATATCTTCGATATGATCGGCAGATTGTTCATTATCCCAATCATCTTTATCTCGTTTATTCGATTTTGTTTTTGTATCGACATCACTATCATCCGATATTGATGAAGAGGATGAAAAATCTTCTGATGATGATGATTTTTTACGATCTTTTTTCGATATTCTTACATCAGAATTTGAATCATCTGAATCGGATGAATCCGAATAAACATCGGTAGCTTTCAGTTTTTGTTTTAATTTTTCTTTCTTTTTTTCTCGTTCAGCTTTTAATCCTTTCATAGCATCTTTAACTTTACGTTTATCTTCCATATTTCTTCTTCGTTCAATACTACGTGATGCTGATTCGGTGAATGCTGAATCAAAATTTTTATCATTTTGTTTTTCATTAGCTTTTTTCTTCATTTCTTGTTTTTTGGCTAATCGTAATTTACGTTCAATTTCAAATCTTGTACGTAATACTTCACGTTTTTCACTACGATTGAATAGTTCTTGTTCACGTTCTTTTTCAGTCATTTGGGCTAATTTTCTTTGATCTTCTTCATCGCCCATAAGATTTTCATCAAAACCATCGTTGAATTCTTCATTTTCATCATCACTGAAATCAACTTCACCTTCTTCTTTTTCTTCGGAACTATTTTTCTTCATATCATAATCATCATCAATATCATTATTATTATTATTATCATCATCATTACTATCATCACTAGCACTTGAAGCTGTTTTCAATTTCTTTTTAACCACTTTAGTTGGTTGTTTTTTTGACGACATTTTATTACGTTTCGATTTTGTTTTACTTTTCGGTTTAGCATTCCATTCACCATCATCACCATCATCCGAACTGCTTGATGAATCTGTGGGTATGATTTTTGAAACACTTTTCACATTTTTCTTACGAGCTTCGACAATTTTATCCTCATCAGATGAAGATGACGAAGATGATGATGATGCTGAAGAAGAATCATCGTCGGAAGATCTATTTCGTTTTTTAGCCATTGATCGAGAAATTCAAGTTGAACAAAAAAATACAAACACAATTCTTATATTAATATTCGATTAACCGGTAAAAATTGTGTATGTTGGAATCAATGAATCGAACGCTTTAAGAACAAAAAAATGACTCAAATCCACAGCCACAAAAAAAACCAAAAGGTAAGATAAATATAAGACGTTACCGAATATTGGCGAGCACAAAGAGAATCAAAAGCGCCATCTATTCTAAATTATCAGAACGAATAATAATTTTAGATTTAAATTTTTTTTTTTGATGATCAAATTAAAAAATTGATTAAAATGATAATAAAATTATTTAAATATACAGTGATGAAAGTGAATATGATCAGAGTTCACTATGTTCATGGACATTATCGGTTGATTCAAGTATTGATTGATTGAAAACGCAGGCAGCTGGTGATTTAAATTCAAAACTATATTCACATCGATTTGGTTCGGATGCACGAATCAATTGATTATCATCACCACAGCTAATATGTACAATAACAGATCTTGCCGGTCCATTCCAACATTGTGTACCGCCTTCCATAATGAAACGTTCATAATGATTTTGTTCCGAACCAATCCATTTTCCCCAACGTCTACAATTATTTATAATTAGAATTAATTAACAATGATAATTGTCCGTAAACGTTTTTTTACTCACCCAAGGTTAGTTTCTGTTCCACCGGTTTTAGAACGTTGTGAAGCCGAATCAAATGGACATAGTTTATAAACGTATTCATTTTCGTCCAATTCAAAACATGAACCTTTTAATGCCATATATTCACCATTCGGTCCAAAATCTGTTTCTAAAACAACTTCTAATTCACGAATTTTTGTTTGAATATCTTGATATTGTGCTTCGGCTTGATTATATTCATCGCGAGCTTTTTTAGCATCATCTACAAGTTTTTGTGTTGATTCATCATATTCCAATGTAACCGATGTGGATACAGTACTTTCAGCTGGAATCGATGGACTTTCCGATTCATGTTCGATGTCATCAGATTCTTCTTCATGCTAAATAATGAATCAATTATTATAAATCATTTATGGAAAAAAATAATCATGCAAAAAAAATCATACATCAAGTGATTCATCTTCATTCATAGTCGTTTCAGGATTAGTATCATCAGTTTGATATTCAGAAGCTTGTTGTTGTTCTACTTCATTCTATTCGATTATTAGTATAATTAGTATAGAAGCAATTAAAAGCCGTTTAAAAAAATTAAATTTCACTAACCTGTGGTTCATTATCGATAATTGGTTTGACCATTGGCCAAGATGATTCGATGAATGTGGGTAAAACAAGCTGTTCCAATCCGTTTGAAAAAAACTGAGGGAAGAAAAAAAAATTTTAGGAAAAATTATTTAATTGAATCGAATGAATAGCATACTTTGGCTTCATCATCCGAAACAGAACCATCATTATCTCGATCGAATCCTTGATAGGATTTCAATTCATCCAATGTAATGATTCCATCAGAATCGGTATCAAGTTTTATAAAAACATCTGAAGCTTGTTTAGTTTCTTCAATTTCTCTAATTTTCATTTCTTCTTCTTCTTTTTGTTTTCGTAATTCTTCTTCTTTGGCTCGATGTTTTTCAAGTGCTTCTTTTTCCAATTCTTCGACCTGATTTTTCGCTTCAAATTTTTCATTTTTAACACTTTCTACTTCATTCATTTGTGATTTTAATGTTTCTAATTCTTGTTTAGTTTCATCAATTTTTTGTTTAGCTGTTGCAATATAAGTTTGACGAATTTCATTGCCTTGTTTCATTAGTTCCAAATATCTTTCACGTTCGATACGCATTTGTTCACCCAATTCTAGACAATTATTTTCACATTTAATTGAACTATTATATTCATCACTTGCATCACAACAATCTGACAACAAAGAAAACTTGATTAATTCAGCAATTTATTGCAAATGACAACAACAACAACATACCACAAATACCATCATTTACACGTGATGATGGAATTATTTTCTCAACAAAACCAATGTTTGAACAATGAAAAACACCATTCGAACAAGCACTAGTACCCGGTTCATCACTACCATCATCACAGTCACAATAATCATCATTAACTAATAAAAATGGTATCGTTGCCGAACCATCCAAACATTGAAAATCTTTACCCGGATCATAAAATGATTTTTCTAATATAAATGAAATAATTGATTTGATTTGAATCGAAAGAGAATCATTTAGCATCAATCAAACTTACTTGTTAACGGTACACCTCTAGGCCTAAGTACTTCGGTTGTTCCATTGATAAACGAATAATTAATAATAAAACAAAACAAAAATTTTCGATAATCAAATATCATTGTTCAATTTATAATTTTTTTTTTTGGTTTAAAAACGATATGTGTTTTGATCAATCAATGAAAAAAAATCGAATCGAACAGGGTTTCTTTTCAATTAAAAATAAGGACACGTTTTGTCTGTGTGTTCGAAATGAGTAGACATATTAAGTCGAAATAGAACATTTTTTTTCGAAAAAAAAAAATTTAACCGCAAAATTTTAAAATTTTTTCAAGTTTTTTATTTTAAAATTTAATAATTATAATCAAGTCAATTTACACAGTGTTTTCGGGGGTGACATCGGTAACAAATAATAATATAATAAATAAAAACCAAAAAAAAAGAAAAGGAAAATCAGATAAAAATTTTTTTGTTCAATCAGCCAAAATCATAATAATTTTGTTTTTAAAACATAGGAGTTTTACCATTATTTAGCTCGTTTAATTCAATCAAAAATCATTGATTCAAACGGATCTATAAAACAAAACATAGGCATTTTGTGTAACAACATCCCCGGATGACATTGGTGATACATCTTGATCATCATAACGATGCCAATCAATATTTAATTCACGATTTCTTGAATAAGCAACATAATGACCACCTTCTAATGATCCGAAATGATTAACAACACCATAAAGACTAAATAAACGTATTTCATTATTAGCTGTTTCAATTTTTAAATGTTCAATAGGAAAATCAACAAACGTTGATATTTTTTGTCGCCACATTCCATCATATGTGAATCTTTGAAATAGTGAAAAAAAACAACTTATTGACATGAAAAATGGATAAAAAAAATACAAATCTTACCTTTTTAAATGAATAATCAGAATACGTGGTAATCGCCAAATATATGTACATTTTTGTGCATTTCTTTTCTGTCTACAAGATTGACATTGCCATGCAACTTCATTCGATAATAATTCACCACGTACAAATAGATTAATACAATTTTGTAATGTTGTACGGCCAACATTTTCCGGTATTGGTAATGTAAGACATGTAAATGCTTCTAATGATTTTGATGATGTTTGACAATGCAGACAAGTTAACGTACTAACAATTAAACCTTCAAATATATCACTTATAAATGAATTATTTCGTCGTATATGTAATGACCAAAATGTTTTGGCTGCATCAGCTATTGATAATTTATCATAAAAATTTGGATCTTTTGAAATTGGATCATTAATCTGATTATCTGGTTTACTTCGATTTAAATCGGCATGTAATCGATCTAAAAGTCGAACTAAAAATTCATGTGCATCTTGTTGTTTATAATCAATAAAATCAGGTATATGACGACTAACAGCACATTTAAAATCTTTTGGTGAAATATGTTTAAAATTGGATGGATAACGCATCTGTCTGAATAATTCGATTAATTCAACGGTTAGTTCACCATTTGAACCAAATTTTGAATTTGGATTTATATGAACATTTCCGGCAATTAAAAATTCATAAAATTCTTTTGTATTTTTCAAACATTGAATGATTGCATTCATAAAACATGTATTGCCTAGATTTCTTAGTCCAGCAATTCTTGCACAAGAACTAAATTGTGGACTAAAATCACGAGTTTTTCTTGAAAGATTATTTGCAAATGATGGTTTTGCTGATCGATCAACCAATGGTGTTTGTGTTGAAAATTTCGGACTAATTGAATTCGTTAACGGACTTGTTGTATCATTATATTGAAAATTTTGTTCAAATTGAGCAATATTCGGTGATGATAATGATCGTGATAGACTACCAGATGAGAATGGTTGATTATTATGATGATCATTTTTGTTATTATTATTATTATTATTAATATTATTCATTTCAATTGGTTTTGATATAGAATTTGTTATCGATTCATTATCTGAATCGCTATCATTTTGATTGTGATTTTGATGATTATTTTCATAATCGGACATTTCTTCATCCATTGGAAATACTTCAATATTTTGTTCACGTACATTTGATTTTGTTTCAATCATCATATCTGAATCATTCAATTTACCAACAGTAAATCCATCAGCATCATCATTGTCAAAAATTTGTTTATCACCTTGATTATTGCCCAGAATGCCATTTGTTTTGGTGGTGGTGGTGGTGGTTCCATTCTGTAATGAAGTAAGTAAATGAGCTGGTTTAGGTGGAAGATTTGTTCGATTGTTGGCTATAGGTAATTGATTATTTGAATTAATTTTCATATCTGATTTTTCCGATATGACAGATTTTATTATCGTTTGATTTGTACTATCATTTAATGGTAATTTTTCACGAATCGGTTTTGATGATCGATCTGGTATGATTGGTCGTGCAATACCCGGTATTTTTATCGATTTATCATTATTATTTTCATTCAATGTTGGTGACATAATTGATGATGGTCCATTATTAATTATTATTGATGATGATGATGTTGATGTTGGTTTATTATTATCATTATTATCTTCATCATAAAAATTATAAAAATTCAATTGTGGTTTAGGTTTATCGAATGATGATAATGATGTTTGATCATAATTTGTTATTGAATTAGGATTTGTTGTATACATTGGATAAGTAAGTATAAAATCTCTATAACCACCTTTTAATAATAATGGTTTATTTTTAATTTTATCAGGTGATTGATCCCACTGTGATATGGAAATATAAATAAAATAAATTAAAAGGTTAATTAGAATCAAGAATATCAAACATTACCTTCCAAAAAGCATCGGCCAACAAACAACATTTAAATTTTTTATCAAATTCATTTGTTTTATCATCAACAATAATAACCATATCCATTGAACGTCTACGTTCAATACCATCTTGTACAATACCGAATGATATTTTCTTTTTCAATTGTGATAATGTTAAACCGGCTTGTATTAAATTTTCCGGAATGTTTATAATATTAATCTCTCCATTGGTTGTTAGTTTATTTGCTGCAATTGATGATTCGGAAAATTGTTCCACCAAACGTATATCGATTATTAAAATTTTATTTATTTCAGACATTGATTGTATATGTTGAATTAATTGTTTACAATCAATCGAACGATAACAATCATCATCATCATCATCATCATCATCCATATGAATATCATCATTGATAGGATCAATTTTAACAGCATTTCCAGGTATCGATATTGGTTGTTTAAATAATTGTGCTTTACGATCTTCATAGGATTTTTGTTTTTCAGCATAACGTTCCGATAATTCATCCGATAAAAATTGCATCTGTTCCAATACTTCTTTTGCTTTATTACCAACAGCTAATAAAAATTTTTGTTTATCATTTTCATTATGTATATAACTAAGTAATGTTGAAAAACGATAGTAAAATAAATAGGCACGTTCACTATCACCTTTATGTTGATGATTGATTGCTTCACGATAAAATTTATTTGCAAATTCAATTATTCTATCATCATCATCAGAATAGGAAAAAAACAAACAAAATCAGAAACAATTTTTCGAAAGGAAAAAATGAGCAAAAATATCAAATACCTTTCGATATTAGTTTTACCAAATTTTGGTATTTCGGATCTTTTTTTCAATTCATCCAATGATTTGGCTAAATGAAGTTCTTGTTTAGTAGCGGATGGCATTGTTTTTACTGAAATAGTGGTTGTTTTTTTTTCGTTTAAGATTCTTTAGAAAAATTCTATGTTTATCGGCGTCACATATTTTCTAAAATCAAAACAGAAAAATACCAAAAACCAAATGACAACAAACACTACGTTGGTTGACAAGTTATCGATCATCAGCTGAAAATGATTAAATCATCATAATCAATATTTTCAATCGAATCTTAATTTTCAATTAATTAAAAAAAGTTTGTTTTCACAAAAAGAATAAAACTATGATGATGATTTCGATTTTTTTAGGACTATGTTTTCAATGTTGTTTGTTGAACAACCAAACAGCACAAAAATACGACGGTATAACAACAACAACAAAATGATGTTGATTATCAATGGTAAACATTCAAGATGATGATGAATAACAACACACCGCCACCACCACCACTATCAACACAGATACATTAAATTTTCTTTTAAATTTAATGAAAAGTGAAATTAAATGGGAAAAAAAAGAGCAGCAGATCCTCACATAAACACAACAAGCAAATGTAAGAATTGTGAAGAGTGGTGGTGGTGGTGGTTGTTGTTGTTGTTTTCTCCCTTGACTTTAACATTTTCTCAATTGAAATTGAGTGTGGCGTTTTGTTTTGTTTTTGGTTACATTATTTTTGAAAACTTTTTACTTTTGATTGTTCATAGATGGCGTTGATTGTTTTGGAAATTTATTCGAATTGAATCAAAAAATTCGAATCAAATTTTGTTTTTTTTTTAATTTTCCCAAAAAGTTTTTAAAAATTTTTCTTTGATTGTTTTGTTTTTTCATTCATTTATTTTTTATTAATTTGATTTGATATTAGCAAAATAAAGACCTCATTAAACAGTGATTGATGGAAAAAAAACAACAACGAAGAAGGATTTCCTTTCCACAAAAAACTGCTGTCCGATGTCATCGTCGTCGTCATGGATGATAATGATGAACAATAATGGTAGATAATGAATATGATTTTTAAATGAATTTTTTTTTTGAATGATATTTGTGTTAAAATATTAGTACAAGTGTGTTCAATGTGTGTGTGTATGTATTTTGTTCTTATAAAAAAAAAAATTTTGTAATCAAGTAAGTTTGAAACGAAAAAAAAAATCGAAAAATAAACGAAAAAAAAAAACATTTAAATCCATTCTCTACTGATCATTTCTATATATCTTATCATTATCATCTCTTGAATTTTGTAAGTTGGTTTTTTTTTGTGTATTAAATTGATGAATTTTGTGTTTGAAACCGGCATCGTAATTACTTTGAAAAATTTTGATGGAAAAAATAAAAGTTTGAGATAAAAAACTTCTACAAGACACAACTGTTTGTTGACAAAATATCAAATTAATTTGACTAATTTTTTAAATTGCTGCCATTTTTGATTGATTAGTTGGTTTTAGCCTTCGACCGAAGCCAAACGTTTAAGACGACCTAGATAAATCGAAATAAATATGGTCAAAATTTGAAACAAAGAAAACAAAGCTGAAAAATACACATACAATTATCATTATTTGATTGTAATTGTGTTGCAACTTTATGTCGTGCATCCGGTACATCAAAATTCAAACCTAATTTTAATAATGTTTTATTTTGTTGAATTAATTTGGCAATTTCCATTTCATAACGATTTCCCATTATTTGTGGACGTTGATTTGCAGCACGGAATTCAATAACATTTTGTTTATGTAATAATGATTCAATTAGATCACGTATCATAGGACCGGACAGGTAATTGGATTCCAGATTTATTTTCCGTAATGATTCATTTTCTTTTAATGCTTCCATTAATTTCTGTAAGTTTTTTAAAAAAAATGATTAAAATTTTAAAATTTTGAAAATTTTCAATTAATTACCTCAGCAGGACCATCAGTCAAACCGGTATTTGATAAATTCAATTCAATCAAATTAGTATTGGTCTTTAAACCATTAAATAATTTTTTAAATGTTTCACGTGGTATGTATTTAATATTATTCCAATTTAGATTGGTTAAATTTGGATCATTTTCCGCCACTTGTTTTGCTGTTTTTTCCGGATCAGTCATATTATCCGGTTCAGGTGGTAAAAGTTTTTTCGGTTTAGTTGATTTAACAATTGATTCAAATTTATCTCCTAATGGTTGTCCTTTATTCAATATTGATGCTTCATATTGATCTTGATTGAGCATTGAATGTAAACCAAGTATACCGGCTAAATCAACTAAATCAGCTTCAGTTGCATTACCTAATGCTTCTTCAGCACCATCTTCCAAATCCAAAATTATTTTCTCTTCCATACCACCTTTTGGATCGCCTTTTTTTGGTACCCATACTTTGCCTGAAAAAAAAAATTTAAAATTTTACAAATTAGAAACAGAAAAAAACATTGATTGAATCAAACAAAAACCAACCTAATTTAATACCGGGAATAAATTTTTTAATTTCAGGCCAATCTTCTTGTTCTTTAGCAAATTTTGTTAAAAAATTTAATAATTGCCTTCGTTTTAATGGACCAGTTGGATCTTTATTTGTTTGATCTTTACAACGTTGTGATGGTGGTAATAGATTATCATCTGGATCAACTTCTGAACTTAATTGTTCTAATTCTTCAGCCGATAATTGTCCTAATAAATCTTCAACATTTAAATTTTCATATTCTTTTAAATCTTTTCCATATAACATTTTTAATTTTGGTTGTTGAAATAATTCTTGTGAATTTTTACGTTCAGATAATCGTCGTTGATTTATTGTACGTGTTGTTTTTGTGATCTAATAATCGAAATCGATCATAAAAAGCAAAAGAAAAATTGAAATAATCAATGAATAAAAACAATAACAACAACAATGAAATTGATACAAACAAACAAACAGAGAATCAATCAAAAAAAACTCAAAGTTATTATTATTATTATTGTTTTGCGCAATGCGAAATATTCTTTTTGGTCTATTTTTTTTTCTTCCAAAAACAAATTTTCGTTTCTCTCTCATTCTCTCTCTCTGTGTGTTCTTGATTCTGAGCGAGAATATTTCCGTTTAAAGAAATTATTTACCACTACCAACATCGAACAAAAACAGATCAAACCCACACACACAGAATGATATTCTGATTTAAACAGAATTCGGGTCGAATTGAAAAACAACTTGCTACAAAAACAAACCAAAACAAACAAACCAAAAAAACCATCAAAATTTTCATTTCATTTCATTGATTCAAAATTCGCATTGACAATGGTTCAATCAAACGAATCAATCAATCATTGTTTTTCTATTTTTGCTCTGGGGTTACCTCTGAAAGCGATGGTGGAGGTGGCATGGACGGTGGTGATTTCATTATTGTAAACGAAGATGATGATGATGATGTTGTGTTATTGGGTTGGGGCGTTGGCTCACGTTGCTGTTGCATTATCGTTAAATGTTTTCGAATGTTATCAAAGAATATTCCCAAACAAAATAAAACAAGCAAACAAAAAAGAAGCAAATTTCTCAGATAAGCAAAGATTATTTTTTGAATGACAAAAAGGCAGCAAATTGGAATCGGAATGATTAGTGGTAATCAGTTTTTTTTATCAATCCGAAAAAAATCTTTAAATTTAGAACACACACACAGGTAATTGTGGAATCGATACTATAGTAGTTATTAGAGTAGAATAAATGATATTTTTTTAGGGCAGGTAAATTGGTAAAAATTTCATATGAAAGTCATCATTATAATTAACACAATAACAAAAATTCATTTCATTTAACATTTAACATTGAGCACACTGTTTTTTTGGTGTATATCAATCGTATCCAATCTCCCTTGTATCTCTCTCTGTTTGTTTCTCTCTGTTTCTCTCTCTCACATAGTGGTAAATTTTTTTCTGCATGATTTGATGGATAGGTGTGACCATCACAACAACAAACAACAGCAACCAATCGATTGTTTGTGTGTGATAAAACTCTGATATTCGGTTATTTGATATACCCAGAAAAAAACATTTTTTTTGCATCAGCCAAAAATCAATTTCGAATCATTAAAATCATTGAAAGTAATCTGGGGTTTCTTTTTGTTACCAGGAAAAAACAAACCCCGGGTTAATTAAGGAGAAAGATTCCTTTTTCGCTGTATTTGTCGAATAAATGAATAGATTTTCATTGTAAATTCGAATGAAAAAAAAACAAAAAAATTACCCCTGATGATGATGATGTTTTTGTCGATCTTTTTGTTGATGATGATGATGATGAATATGTAGATGATGTCATTGTTTTATGTATGGATGATGCGGCAGAAGAAGAATCAACTTTTGTCTGATTATGTTTTGTTGTCGATGATGTTCTTCTTGGCTGATTAAATGGCCAAGTTGATTCTTGTTGTTTAAGAACTTGATGCATGATTACAAAAGATCAAATCACCACACCACCAAAAAAAAAAACAATAACGATTTTAAAATTTCAATTTTAAAAAAACATTTGGAAAAAAACACACATAGGTTTTCTAATGGTTAATTTATTCCTAGCAAAAAAAAAGGAATGGATGTTTGGTTGGTTGGTTGGTTGAAAAAGAAAAAGAATGCAACTAATCGATATGGGTGAGGAAAGAAAAGGAAAGAAACGGGTTATAAACATGCAAAGAATTTTTTTTTTAAGAATTTGGTGAAAAAAAAATTCTTTGATAACCAAGCGTGGATAGATTTAGATTTCATTTTAAGGAAAAAAAAAGAAAAGAAAATGCGAATTATATTACCAGTTATATTATGCTACTACACCAAATTATTAATTTAAATAACTCAAAGTTTGTTTGTTTGTTTGAATGTGTATTTTGTCATCATTATTATTATTATAATAAAGAAAAAATTCTTTGTTTTTTTTTAAAAAAAAAGATGACAAGATGATGAATTAATCGGTCTTGAACGTAGTGAACTAAAAAAACAACAACAACGAAAAAAAAGTCGTAGTTATCGGATGATGATGATGATAAATTAGGAAACACGCACATTAACCGCACACTTACCGCAAACTAAAACAATCCATCACCAAGAAGTTCTCAAACAAAACCAAAAGATTTTGGTTTCCGATTGGTTTTGTTTTGTTTCGTGATTAAAGGTTGGTTAATAAGAATATTCTGCAAATTCTAAATCATTCGGCAATGTAATTTGAGCTTAAACACTAATCATTATAAGATGATGAATATCGTTACTGGTGAAAGAAAATCATAAAAATATGTATCACAAGTATATGACTGCTACCAATCAGAATTTTTCTTGTTTTTTTGTTTTGTTTTTCAAATCCAAAAGTACGTTAACGAAAGAAAAAATTCTTTCAGGTTTTTTTCTTCTTCTGCATTTCATAATCATAATTGAATGTGAATGTTTTTTGTAGAATATTCATGATTTTTTTTTCATCGCTTTTACGTTTTAGTAAACCAAAGAAAAAATTTTTTTCCGTTTTTTTTATTGAAAAACAAACACAACGTTGACGACAACAATGTTGACAAGAATAATGTGAATCCAAAAAAAAAGTAGACGAAAAAAAAATCTAAAGATTCGCTATTTATCATCAAAACAAGATCGGTATTTGAAGTGAAATAAGGAAGACAACAACAACGTTGGATGCCAACAAAAAAAAATTAAAATCCAGTTCATGTACGGTAACCGGATTGGTTTTTTTCTACCTGATTCTAATCGATTTTCGGAAATTCAATTTTCCAATATCCAAAATTTAGCCAAATCCAGAATACTAAAAAAAAGATGTGCATACCGAGAGCAAACAAAAACAGCACCATCTTCAATTTTTAAACACAGAATTCAAAAAAAAAACATTCTCGCTTTTTGAATTCTGCAGTGTGGTATATACGAAAAACTGTTTGAAAAAAAAACTTTTTTCCAATGTCTGATGCCAAATATGAACAACAATCAGTGAAAGTGAAATCATCATCATTGAACAAAATACTGAAGATTCTTTAATTCTAAACAACATTCATTTTTTAAGCAAGAAAAACGAAGAAAAACAAAACGCATTCAAATAAAGTTTTCTTTAAAAAAAAAGATGAACAAAGTAGGAGTGGCAACAAACAAACGATTCTTGTGTAAACGTAGTTGCAAAATGTGGTTTCTTTTCGGTTAGTTGTTGTTGTTGTTCACTAGAAATATCCAGAATCGAAAAGAAGAAGAAGAAGGAGATGGAGAATGGAGAAGGCGATTATTGACGTCAACATTATCATCATCATCGACATCGACATCAACAAAAAATATCAGATAATTCCTGATGACAATATGGAAAAAAAATATTATTATTGCAAAAAATTTTATTCGTTCCTGTTCAACAGAAACAAACAAACAAACAGAAACCAAAAGGGTTATATATTCTGTTTGGTTGTATGCAGAATGACATTGTTTCTTTTGTGTGTGTGTAGTATAGTGCCGATTCTTATCATGTAAAATGTGATAAGAAACAATGAAAAAAAGAAGACAACCAAGAATCAAGAATCTATTCTGTTGTTGTTGTTGTTTTGGTAATCTATTAATAGATTACAATGAAATGAAATGATGAATAGCAAAAACATTTAAAAAGAAAGAGAGAAAAAAAAATCATCGAAATGGACTAAGATAGAATTAGTAATGTTCGACATACGAAAACGAAAAAAATTCCAAGTTTGTTTCTTTTATTTTTCTTTTGAAAATCAAATAATTTTGCTAGATTAAGGAAGTGATTTTCATTTTATATTCGCTGAACATCACACACACACACAGAGACATACCAAACATAGAAGAATATAATGTGAATATAAAGGAGACAGCCGAATCTTTTTTTTTCTTCAAATTCTCGCTTAAACATCACCATCAATTACACACACACACGCAAAAGACATTGACTCGGCATATTTTCAACAACAACAACAAAATCGAATCATTTTTTTTTAAATAACCAAATCAGAATTTATCATTGAACCAGGAAATGAAATCAATTTCATTTGTTGTTTTGGTGAAGAATTTTACAACATAAAAATTTAAAACAAAAACAAAAGAATCAAAACTTTACCTTGGTATATTCAAATTCAAATTCTTCGTCGTCAGCCATTGTTGTTGTTGTTATTTTTCTGGTTTTTTTTTTTTGGTTGATAATCGAATTAGGTTTTTGTTCTTGTTGTTGATGGGAATATCAGTGGATTTAGTGATTGAAAAACAAATTACTTTTTGGAAACTCAATAAACCAAACAAACACACAGAGATAATTTACAAAAATGAAAAATTTGAATCAATCAAGATTGTTGTTTTATGGAACATATAACGAAATTAACGAAATTCAAACACACACACCGAACGAATGAATTGAATGTTATGATGATTTAATAATAATAATAATCGCATAATAATAATTCAAAAAGACGGCATGTGTGATAATTTCGGGTACGGGTTTTTTTCCACAAAGATTTTCTTTGAAAAAAATATACAGATATAGTAGTAGCTTGAACAACAACAACAAAAATGATGAAATGAATCATAAAAGATGGTAAAGATCTTTCAAGGAGACAATATTATTATCATCATATTCATTCTTTTCTATGATGAAGTTGTTATTCAAATTGGCACCAGACACACACACACACACAGTGTTAACCGTCGTCATCATCAATGATGATCATGATCAACATGTTTTTCCAAACCAATTTTTCTTCTTCTTCTTTCGCTTGAATGTCTTCAAAAATACCACCATCAAAAAGATTTACATTTACAACATTCGTTGTGCGCTTGGATAAATGTTTTTTGTTGTAAACTTCGAAAGCCAATTGAGCTATATATAGATTTTTTTTCTTTTCTTTAAATTTTGTTTCGAACTGAATGAACAACAACAAAACTAATACAACCATCTATTTTGTTTCTGTTAATTTGAATATCAACATTGATTTTGGTTTTTTTTGGCCAGATAATCCACATATACATTGATGATGATGAAACCAGAATCAGATGTGTATATGTTTATAATGTTGTTAATTGCAAACAAACAAAAAAAAACATATAACATCACAAAAAACAAAACAAAAAATTCGGATGGATGTAAATGAGTAATATGAACTTCATAGTCATAGCTATAGTCATCAACCTAACCTCACTCCACTATGAATCATAGTCAAAGTTATCAACCTAACCTCACTCAACTATGAATCATAGTCATCAACCTAACCTCACTCAACTATGAATCACAGTCATAGTCATCAACCTAACCTCACTCAATTATAAGTCATAGTCAAAGTTATAGCACCATTTTTCACAATTTGAATTCGAATCTATTTTGACCTATGTGGTCATATTTAATTCAAATATTTTTTTTTGATTTTTCGCCAAATCCATTTGTGTTAAAACAGTTTTTTTTTACTTTCATTTTACAGTCATCCTTTGATATTAACACCATACTTGTAAAATACGGTTATAAATATTAATCGATTGAAATAATTAAAGAGAAAAACAAACAAAACAAACATTATGTTTTAAATTGTAAACAAGAAACGTGTGTTTATTTTGAAACGATTTGAACACAAACAAACTTTTTTTTGGACAAACAAACATTTTTTTAGAAAAAACGGAATGGAAAATGAATAAAGACTAGATTAAAATTTTAACTAATTACAATCACCGATCATCATCATTAATTAATAAATCAATCGATCGATTTATAACATATCAATATCGTCGTGTAAAAATTTAAAACTGGTATGTGGTGGTCTCCATTCTTGAACATGAGTCATTTTAGCATTCTGAATGCCTGTTGTTGTAAATCATCAACCATCATTAGTCCAAACATGATGAAAAACCCCAACAAAAACAAAAAAATGAAAAAAACCAAAGAAGAAAAAAAAAATTAGAATGATTTTTTTGGGGAAGTATTTTTTTGGGTATCTTTTGGGTATCAATTTCATTCATTCATTGGCCAAACGAAACAAAAAAAAATTTTTTTGATGGTAATTTTTTTTATTATTCATTCAGATTGTCAATATTGGTATACTTATTCAATAAAATATGTGACAAATATTGATTTTTTGTTTGTTCGAAAACAAAAAAAAAAGTTGATCTACGGATAGAAAGAAAGAAATTTGGGGAAGCTGAGACTTACGAACGAACATACCGAACGAATATCACATTGAATAAACGTGGACGCATATCTAAAAAAATGACTAGTTTTTGTTTCTGTTTATCATCAGGAATCCTATTCAATAATTACAAATTGACAAATAAAAAATTTTTTTCAAAAAAAGGGACCAGAATAAATATGCCTAAAAATTATATAATAATATTATCAATAGGTTTTGGTAATTTGTTGAGCATTGGCCGAAACATTTGAATGATGATGGTGTTGGTGGGTATGTGGTGTACGGGCCAAATGGGATTTTTCTTCACCAATTAATTCATAATAGGTTTCGGGATTTGTTGTTGTAGTTGTTGTTGTAGTTTTAGATGTACCTTTACCACTTGCACTTGCTCCTTGTGTTGAGCTACCTGATGAACTCATAAAATGGACATGTTCTTCATCATCATCATCATTATCCGAAGATGTTTGTGTGGGCATCGATGGTATGGCCAAAAATAATGCCAATGCAACAACACAATGCCAGATGCTAAAAAATCAATAAGAAAAAAAAATTAATCCTTAATGGTTGAAATGTTTGACAATGGTATTTACCTATGAGTAATTGGATAATTATCTTGTGTTTCAAGAAATGCATAGATAATCAATCCAATAATGGTTAAAATTAAAGCTGGACATATGGAAAATATCCAACATCGTACCGGTGGATAACAGGATTTACGACAACAACGTGAACACTGTTTTTTTTTAAATTGAAATTTAAAAAAAAAAATTCAAAATTCACATAATGGATTCACACATACCCAACAGCAAAACATTAATAATGTTCCTAAACCAGCCGGTATAACAAATGTCCATAAACTTGTACGATCATTTTGTGTAATCAAAGCAATAGAAATAGCACCCATTAGATGAAAAAATGATTTACATCTTGGTGATAAACAAGCCAATGTTAATAATGTAACAAAAAATGATAATATTGCTGTGTAAAAATCAGCAAATTGTAATAGACTAACACTTAATACACAATATGATTGTGAAAAATCGCTATCGCAAGCATGATATAACTAGAATTGAAAGAAAAAAAAATCATATCATATCATATTATTGATCAATTCTAATCATTCATTTTCACATACCGCCGATGAGATCATTGTAATGAAATAGATAGTCGATTCGGTAAAATAATGACGAAATGCAGCCAAAACAATTGCCGGTAAAAATGCTGCATTACTAATAGTCAATAAAAGAAAATTGGTAAGTAATTTTTGTGATGATAATGCTTCACTTCCATCATTGCAAATTAATCCTTTCCATCCTGGTAAATAAAAAGAGAAAACTTTGAATTTAAAAAAAACAACAACGATGAATATTAGATGATAACATACCTGCACGACATGAACATGTTGAATAAAGTAATCCAACATTTAAATATTGTTGACATTTACCATTGTTCAAACAACGATTATTTAAACAAGCCGATGAATGAATATCAATCATAATGGATGTTTTATTCAAATAATCACAGCTTGTAGTGCTGAAATCAGTATTCATTAATGAATTAAAATCATCATCAATATCATCATCATTACTACTATAACATCGTACTAGAATTGAAATAAACCATGTACCAGATTGTGGATATGGTACTATTAATGATTGTAATGATGATCCCATTGTTGTAAAATTTGTTTGTGATGTATTCGATACTAGATGACCATAACAATGTTCATCAAAACGAATACCATTTGATGATAATGATAATGGTGGTAAACGATTGTGCGTTAAACAAAGTATTGCCGTTACATTTTGATGTGTATCATTATGATTAGTCCATGGTGAAATGGCAAAATCTATTTGTAAATTACCACCAATATCATATTGTGGTATGATGGTAAAATTAAACAATGCAAATCGATCATTATCAATTTCAATAAAATCCGATTGATTTGAATTTGAATATGATTGATTTTTGTCATTCGATGATTCATCATTCAATATTTTTGGACTATAACGGAATGTAAAAACATCCGAACTTTGATAACGTGTTAGATTATACCATGTAAATGTTGTCATATTAACCAAATCATCATCATCTAATGTAGCCATTATTTTTGTTGGTTCAAATTGACATTGTTTTTCAGCCAATGCTTTATCACGATTACGTTGACGATTTTTTTGTTTTTGTTTTTTCAATCGTCGTTCTTCTTTAGCTTTTTTATCCAATTTTTTTCGTTCACGATTTTGATCAGCAGATCTTTTATTGATTTGATTACGATCAATATCGATAAAATCACTACCAACACCAACACCATTGTTATCTTCATCATTAAATTCCATTGAATCATAATTATTATTAATCATCGATACGGTTGATGATTTTTCAACATCCGTATCAATAACAATGGATGGATATTGGCCAACAGCCGGTCGTATGTTCGAATTATTACTTTGATTTTTGCCGATATTATTATATGTTCCAAGTTTATTTGAAAGTTGATTTGTTGATAGAAAATTTATCGGCTTATCAATAATTGAATTATGATGTTCATCATTATCATCAACCAACGATGATAATTGTTCATTATTTTTATTATTATTATTTGTTAGGAAATTATAATTATTCAATAGCATTATATTTGATGATATTGTTGTGCTTGCTAGCTGTTGTTGTTGTTGTGGATTTTGTGGTGATTGATTTGGTGGTGATTGATTTGGTGGTGATTGATTTTGGCCAATTTGTTGACAATTTTGATCATTAAAATAATTATAAAGGAATGCTTCTTGCCCGGCAAGAAGTTGTATAGTAAAATTGATTGAGCCAAACATTAATTTTGTTCGATATGGTTCCTGTTGTTGATCGAATATTGTTTTCTGTTGTGATCGATGATAATGATGATTATTATTATTCTGATAATCATCATTCTTATTGATCATTTGATTCAATGTTGATACAATTTGTAAATAATTCCATTGATTCGGTACAAAACTAGGTAAATCAATAATACATTTATTATTATTGATTTCAACATTTGTTTGATTTGTTGTTGTTGTTGTTGTTGGTGTTGTTGATTGACATTTGAATGTATAATCTCGATTAGTTGAATTTGGCAGTGCAAATGATCGAAAATTTAATTCAATTGGACAGATTATATTGGTCATATTCATCATTGTAGATGTAGAATTATTATTTGTTGTTATCGATTGTTGATCATAACCATTATTATTCATTAATATTGATGATTGGTATGATGGTGATTGATTAGATTGATGATGACGAATATTAACACCCGATAACTGTGATGATGATGATGGTCGATATTGGCAGTTTGTTATTACAATTTTAACACCATTTGATTCTTGTAGATTAAGAAAGAATTTATAAAAAAGTTCTGGTTGAATATTCTGTTGATCAATGATCAATGATTGTTTCAACGAACTAGTATGTGATGGTGTTAATACAGTTATTCGATTTGTTTGAATCGGATCATTCAAAAATGAAAGACTTGATTTAAATTGATAATAACATTCATGTTCTAAACCTTTTTGTGATATTTTATCATTAGTTTTATTAATAAATGCCATACCATACCAATCACCGGGTAATGGATTAGTAAGATTTAATTCAACAATTTTACCATCTGTTTTTAAATCAACAACATATTGATCCGATGAATTTTTAAATATAAAATTATCAGGTATGGTTGCATTTTTCACCGATAATAATGGTAATGAACTCCAACGAAGATAGAATTTAACATTTAATGGTTTTCGACATGCTGTTGTTAATATTGATCGATAAAATTTTCTGATTTTTTCCGTATAATTAGCTATTTTAGTTTGATTAATCCAACTAGGTAATGGTGGCCAATTGTAATCTGTAGTCGATGAAACATTGATTAAAGGATCTTTATCCTTTGATAAATGTGTTATATTCAATGCAGAATAATGATAATTTTGTATCATCATCATTGTTACATTGATTGGTTGATCAGATTGTGATGCATTCAAACGAAATATAGCCTGAGTTAAGTCGGGTGGTATTTGAAAACGAAAAAATTGACCATCCTTATATGAACGTAATGGACTTAATTTTCTTGTCAATTGTATTTGATTGTTCCATTCTATATTGGTCAAAGTGAAGAAAACAAAATGGTCAATATCATCATCATCAAATTACCATCAATAACTTACCGAATGATTGTGAAATCAAAAATGTAGTAAAAAAAATCAAAAATCCAAACAATAATGAATAATAAAGATTTTGAGCCATTTTTTTTCTCTTTAAAAATTCACTCGTTGGTGATTTCACACGAATTTTTTTTCGATTTGGTTGTTGAGCAAAAAAAAAAGAACAATCAAATTTTCAATTGTGATAATAGCTGTTATCCAAAGAAAACACAAATTTCAATTTACATCTTGAAGTTCGGTCTGGTTTTTTGGTTCTGGTTTCTGGTAATTTGATTTTGGATTCTTTTGGATTCCGATTTGACCGATTTGGAACAACAACAGTATACGAACGCAGTATAAAACGCCACCTAACGTATTAGCCATTATTTTTCCATTATTATTGATTGAATTGAATTGAATTGAATTGTAATATACAAATGATCATGCATGTTGGCCTGGTATACTCAATCCTGGTTTCTATGGGGATGTATAGTGATGATGATGATGATGATGATTAGATAGGCCGCACCAACATCACAGTATAGTTCCAGTTCGTTGCTCCTTTCAAGTATCGAAACAAAACGGGCCATATTAAATATATATAGCTGTTATGATGATGCGAGCATCATTCGATCCGCGGATGATAATAATGGATGCGGCTATTTTTTTTTTTCTAACCATCATATATCGGCTATATATAATATGATCGGCGCTATATATAAACAAACAAACAAACAAACCATATTCATTTTTATTTCACTATAAAAGTTTGATAACATCCACCATTTGTTTTTTGATTTTTTGGATGTAAAATAATGGCGAAATAATATCACAAACACAAAAATATAGCGACATTCGAAAAACATTCGAAACAAATTTGTAAAAATTTTTCCACCACAAGATGGCAACAGTGGTTTCAATTTTTTTTTTTTCGAATCATTCGATAAATCATAACTTCCGGATTTCGCTATTTTTTTCTATTTTTGAAGAGAAAAAAAGACTGACTGACATCCAAAAACAACAGACGCATATTAACAATGTAGATCACAAAAAGCAAAAGAAAAAATTATTTTAGGGTCCTGATCTTATGTTCAAGGCAAACAACAAGCAAACACAGCACATGCATATGTGTGTGATACAAGTGTTTCTTATAAATGGCTTTGGAAGTTTGGAACAAAAAACAGCTCTAAGCTCGCGAATTTAGTAAGGACCTTGTGTACGTATATGTAGAGCGTACAGGTTTTTTGTTTCACACACAAACACTGGTTGCATACACATATGGCCTGTTTTGATGATCTCGATCCAAAGGAGGGAGAGTGTGTACTGAACAACAACCAAGCAAACAATTTTTAGAAAGAAAAAGAAAAGAAATCTAAGCAAGGTAGCAAGGTGCTACCACTATAGTTTGGTCGATTGATCGTTCGATCGGTAAGCATTTTTTTCATCCCTTATAAGATCCACATTCATTCATTCATTCGTTTATGACTGTTGTTGTTGACAATTCAAATCAAGAAACTGTGGTAAAAGTCCAAAGTTTTCAAAGTGTGTGTATTCAGTGTGTGTTAATCATCGACTGTGTGTAAATGGACAATAATGATCATTGGTGGTGGTGGTGGTGGTGATCAAATCAGAAAAATTCCTTACAAATATCAAGTTTTAGTTAGTTAGTGGTGGTGGTGGTGGTATTTATGATCAAAAGAAGAATATTGCTTCTTTTGAAGAAGAAGAAAAAAACTAACCTAGCTTCTTTTTTTTCAACAACCAAAAAACAGGTAGGTAGGTTATGTCTGTGTGTTAATCGATGATCATGAATGATTTATCAGTGGTCAGTCAGTGGCCATTTCTTGTCGTCAGTAGCAGTTGCTCGAAATCTTTTTTTTTTGAGGAAAACTCCAGTAACAAAAAAATTCCATTTTTACAGGTTGCCATATAATTCATCGATAGCATCGATAGCATCATTCTAAAAAGGAATATTTCATTTCATCAGTAAAAAGCAATCAAGATCATCCAACAAGTCAGAGAGAGAGAGAGAGAAAGACTTTTTACCAAACAAACAACCACTACTTACCATTAATTCATTATCAATTCAACAGAACGAACATAACAACAACAACAACAACAAAAAAAATCGTTTTTACAAAACTTGCATCTCCCTTGTCCATATTACTTTGTTGGATTTTATTGAACGAACGAAAGAAAGGTAAACTCGTTTTCTTCAATCAATTTTTCGTTTGTTTGTTTGAATCAACAACAACAACAACAAAGACGACGACATCATCATCATTCTGTTTGAGCAAAAATTTTGTATTTTTCTCGTTGTTGTTTCTTTTAATCAAGAAAAAAAAGTATCAAAATTTTTTGGAATCCGCGGAATCCATTTTGATGACACTTGTTGTTGTCGTTGCTCAGCATATTTGTAAACTTGCCACACATTTCACTTGCAACAAATGTTTTTTTTTGTTTCTGTTGAAAAAAGACAATAAAGGTAATATGTTTATGAAGGAAAAGATTTCAGAAATTATTGTTTTTTGTTTGTTTTTGTAATAGTGAATCTATACTGAAAATGCATTTGAAACCAGATGAAACATCATCAACAACAACAAATCATACAAACAACAACAACAACAACAACAATGTGAATAATAATAATGGTAATGTTGCTATTGTTCGTGTTGATACAGCAGCTGATGAAGGTTTAGATGAATTGTTTAAAGCGGTAATGAGTCCAAATAATGGTCAATCAAGATTACCACAACAAGTACCGATGCGACAACGTCGTTTACCACCATCATTTTTTCGTCCACCATCAGCTGCATCATCAAATAATTCATTAACATCAATGGGTAATCATTCAAGAGAATCATCATTAGATGATGGTGGTTATCAATCACAAGGACCAAGTTTAAATGGTGAAAATAAAATTCATAATACACCATTGATTGGTTATAATCAATTAGCAAATGGTTTGGCTATCATTCATCCAAGAGCTAATTCATCACCAGCTGCATTACCATTGAATATTGGTTCATCAACGACTGCAACCAATTCTTCAAGTAACGCATCGTTAAATCATACACAAGGTACATTTGGTGGTTCAAATGATTTAGCAAAATCATCAAACAATTCAGCTGCAACAACAACAACACATTATCGACAAATGAGTTATGATCTTGATCAAATGCGATTACCAGATGGTTGGGAAATGTCCTATACAGCAACGGGTGAACGTTATTTTCTTAATCATAAAGAAAAAACAACAACATGGGAAGATCCTAGGAAAAAAATTGTCGAAGAAATGTTACGTCGATCTACTCCACCACCACCGGTACCACCATCGGTGGCATCACAGCCTTCACAATCATCATCCGTAGCAGCCGCAACACAGCAACCAATTATTCAATCAATAACGACAGCCATTCCTTTACAAGCAACAACAAATCCGACAACTACACCAATAACACCATCAGTGGTAGAACAAGAACATCATCTTTCCTATATTGATCCATTAATTGTTCCATTACCGGATGGTTGGGAACAAGCACAAACATCATCCGGTGACATTTATTTTATTAGTCACATTGATCAAACAACAACATGGTTTCATCCAAGTATACCAAGAAATCTACAAATGAAACGTATACAACAACAACAAAATTGTTCTATTCAACCACCACCATTTCAAAATTTAATAACAACAACAACAAATATACCAACAGAATTGGTTGTTGCATTAAAAAATATGAATACATCATGTCAGGCTACACCAACACCAGTATCAACATTAATACCACCAACGGTAAATGCGATTACAAATCAAACAACAACATCGACACAGAATCAACATTTACGTGATCTTGAATTAGAACGTGAACGTATGAAACAACGACAAGAAGAATTATTACAAAGTTCATTATTGAATAGTGTAACAGCATCGAATATAATGTTATCATCATCATCTTCGTCGAATGATAATGCTATTTCAACACAATCACCATTTTTATCATTACAAAATGAATGTCATTCTCGACAAGAAAGTATTGATTCTGGTTTGGATATTGGAAATTCAAGTAATTTTTCAATGACATCATCATCATCATCTACGGCACATACACCGGATAATTTTCTTCGTATGTCAACAACAACAACCGGTAATAATATTACGGCAGCATCCGCATCGGCTATATCAACATCGATTGCTGCTCAAACAAACAACAATACAGCAACAACCATATCAGATGATTTACCATTTGAAAATATGCAAATATCTAGTTTGGATTTAGATTCAGAATCAATGGATTTTATGCAAGGTCTTGATATGGATCTTTTATCCAATGTTGAAGAATTATTAAATTCAAATAAAGATAATATTATGACATGGCTTTAAAAAAAGGCACACACATCATTACATACATTTCACATGTTATTTTCCCAAAATGATAACATGATGTTAATGTCCAAATGATGTCCAAATGATTTTTCAACTTATTCTTCGATCCACAACAAAAAATTTCAAAGTTCAAAGTTGAATAGATTTTTTCTTTTTTAATTGAAATGAAAACAGTGTGCCATTTGAATATTTTTTCTTACATTTTATATAAAAAATTTGCTGCTCGATTTTTCTCTGTTTCCTAATGGTGCCAAATACTAATAATCCTTACGAAATACCATTTTATTTTTTGCTTTGCCCTATATATCTCAAATCTTTCGTTCCCATAATAATAATGATAATATTTAATAAATGATAATAAATTCCACCAAAATGAATGAATGAATATTTTGTTTTGTTTATACTTGATGTTCACGAGTTTTTGATTGAATCCATCATTGACGATCATCATTTTAGATGGAAGGGATCGCCTCGAAATCAGAAAGAAAATTTACATTCCAAAATGTTGACCACACAATGATGTTGATGAGGATTAAACAGAAATAAGTTTATTCACACGATTTATACGCACAGGGTGTCTAATTTGATGATAATAATGATGATGATCATTATTTAGTCGAATCTTTTTTTTTCCATTTTTCGAATGAATAAAAACTGTCGATCGAACAAACAAACAAACAATCGATCGTTCCGGTCAATCGATTGTTCGATTGTCACAATTTTTTTTCTTTCGATTTTTTGATTCGCCCATTCACAATTGACCAAAAAAAGATTTTTATCCAATTTTTCGTTCGATAAAAAAAATTGACAAACAAACAAACAAACAGATTATTATTATTTTGGTGAAAAGAGAATGAAAATGGAAATTTCATTTGTAAATAATAAAATAGCTCTATTCACCATCATCATAATGATGGTGATGATGAAAAAAAAAAATAACAACGGTATGCGAAATCCTATATACGAAGAAAAAAAATGGCACGACAAAATCTTTAATTTTTTCTTTTTTTTCTTGTAAAACGTTAGGATCATCGTCATCCAAAAGAAAGAAAGAAAAAAAGTTTCAAATGAATGGATATTGAACGACGACGACGAAGAAAAGAGACGAAAAATTCAATGGAAAGAATGGAGTGAAAAGAGAGAATTTTTTTTTTTGGTAGTCAAACCAGTTTGTAATGGAAACAAACAAACAAACGATAGAGATGATCATCATCATTGATGATGGTATCCACCTTTGACTTGGACGCCAAGTATATGTGTGTCGAGAAAATATTTTCATCATCATCATCATCATCATTTCGAATGATTACAAACGACGACGACGACGACGACTACAATAACAAAACAAACTGATGATTAATCTTTGTGTTTGTTGTTGTGTTTCAGATAATTATTCTTGCAATAATTTTTTTTCTTCGATTAATTAATAATGTGAAATCCAAATCGACGATTATAGAAAACGATAGAACCAAAAATTCAATTCGTAAACCAAAAATCAAGTCAAACGGAAAAAAAATGTCAGCAGCAGCAATACGTTCAACATCGGCCAGAAGATTTGCACCAACAACATATGAAAATATTTGTAATCGTTGTGGTCATCTTGTTTATTCGGCTGAAAAAATTGGCCCGTTAAAAGATTTTACATTCTATCATCATGGTTGTTTTAAATGTGTTGTGTGTGGATCAAAATTAACATTAAAAACTTATTATAATAATCAACAGGATCAAGATGATAAAGAGGTTTGTTTTTTGTTTTGAAAAAAGTCTGTCATGGCCACTGTAGACAGATGTTCTTGTGCGCTATGTGTGATTATGATGACAGGTGATTGATTGAAATCTTTGTTTTGTTTTCTCGTTTCTTTGTTATCCTTCGAGAATAGGTTTATTGTCAAAGTCATGTACCAAAAACTGGACCCGGTCATTTAGACGGGCAATCAGTTGGTATCAAGGCGGCATTGAATGTACCGAAAAAAAATCACCTGATTAATGAACAAATACGTGTATCCGGATCGAAACCAGCACAATTAGGTACAGATGCTATGCAATTTAAACAAGCAATGGGAAATCATCATTATCATTCAGATCAATCACAATCAACAAATCGATATTCAGTCGGACATTTTGATGCATCAGCATTACATATTCAACATGCTGTCAATCAAACTAAATTGAATCGTTCGACTAATAATAATAATAGTAATAGTAATGGTCTACGTCATAGTGTTCGTCCAGGTATCGAAAGTCGTATCAATGATTTTCTTGTAAGTTATTTTTTCCTCCTTTTTCGAATCAAAAAATCCATCAATCCTCCCTTTTGCATATCATTAAGGCCGAATGAATGAGTGGATATAGCCATTATCATTTCACATCAATTTTTTTCCTTCCCGATTAACTAATCGAATAGGAAAGAGTCGATTAGAGTTAGAGTTGGTTGTGGATATTGGCTCTCTCCATTCATACAAGTTTTATTTTGTTTAATTTGACTTTTTTTTGATTTTTTTTTGCCATTAGGATTCAGAAACGCAAAGAAAATTAGAAATGTTACACCGAGAAGAAGAAGATTCCTTGTATAGACAATTTACAAAAAAACGAGCCGAAGAAGTATCACATATAAATGTTGAAATTAAAGAAGAATGGGAAAAAGAATTGGAAAAATTAACATCAAAATTTTTAGGTGAAATGAATGGTAGTAAGAAAAAAAGAATATCAACAGATGATGAAAAAGCATTAACCATTCGACATCAAAAAGAAAAAGAAGATTTGGAAAAAAATATGACCATAAAATTTGATAGAAAAAAAGAATCATTAGCAAAAAAATTATTGGAACAAGAACGACAAGCAACAGCTGAATTGGTTGAAAAACAAAGTAAAGAAATGATGAATCTAATTACAGCAAAATTACAAGAATTTTCTGTTAATCCAATCAAAAACAAAGATAAAGATAATCGTCATCGTAATGTAAGTGTCTATTCTATTTGGTTGTTACTAAACTAATGCTAACTAATATTGTCATATAGCGTTCAAATGATGAATTATCATCCGCAAATGAAGACCAGAAACAATTACCACTGGCCGCATCGGCGGCAATGGATCAATCAACATATCCATCACAGCCACCACCACCAACGATAACATCGATTTCAAAATTAGATATTTATAATGATCCAAGTGTTTTCAACGAACTAGATCAAGTTGCCATCAATGTATGTATTGATTGTAGATTTTGTGTTATCATATTTCGATACATTCTTTGTCAATTTTGTACTAAATAGGTTGCACGCGAAGATCAAAAAACATTTACCGATTTGGTTCGACAATTGACAGCAAATTGTGTTACAGATGTAGAAAAATCGCGTGCAATATTTCGTTGGATAACTGTAAAAAATTTAAATACAATTAAATTCGATGATAATGTCAGGGCCGATACACCAATGGGAATATTACGTGGTATTAAACATGGTACTGAAAGTTATCATGTTCTATTTAAACGTTTATGCAGGTAATTAAGCAATTTATTTATTTTTATTTATTTTTTGCATATTTTAACGCTTGACCCGTTGACAACAAAATTATAACAAAGATTTATTTAATGATAATTATCTTCTTCTTATATGTTTGTGTAATCATGGAACCATGGAAACTACAATAATAATAATTTTGTTTCGTTTCTTTTCCCTCCGTTAACATATTAGTTATGTTGGTCTTCATTGTGTGGTCATAAAAGGTTATTCAAAAAGTGCCGGTTATCAACCGGGCGTACATTTTGAAGATAGTCGTTTTCGTAATTCATGGAATGCTGTTTATGTTGCTGGTGGTTGGCGTTTTGTTCAATGTAATTGGGGTGCAAGACATTTAGTCAATGCTAAAGAAGTGGGTGTTGTTTCAACAGCAGCAGCAGCAGCTCGTTCCAGTTCATCTTCATTATCATCATCATCATCATCATCATCGTCATCAACCACAACATCAACATCAACAACATCGAATAATAAATGTACAACCGATAGTTTACGTTATGAATATGATGATCATTATTTTCTAACTGATCCAAAAGAATTTATTTATGAATTTTTCCCACTGCAACCAGAATGGCAATTATTACGTTGTCCAATTAGTTTAAGAGAATTTGAAGAATTACCATTTGTACGATCATTATTTTTTCGTTATGGTCTTTATTTTGTTGATGAAGATATACAGGCAATATTGAAAACAGATAGTTCAGGTGCTGTTACCGTACGAATTGGTATGCCAAGCTATATGACACCAAGTTTAATATTTCATTATAATTTAAAATTAATTGAAAATTATTCAACGGGTATTCGTAATGATAATGGTATCGATATATATGATGGTATTGTATTGAAACGTTTTGTTATGCAATCAGTTACTGGTAATATTGTTACATTTCGTGTACATGCACCATGTCCTGGTTCATTTATAATGGATATATTTGCTAATTCAACAACACCAAAAGAATATGTTACCGGTGAACCAATGAAATTTAAAAGTGTTTGTAAATTTAAAATTTTATGTGATGAACTTCGTACTGTAATGGTACCATTACCAGATTGTGCAAGTGGTGAATGGGGTCCATTAAAAGCAACACGTTTATTCGGTCTAGTACCATTAACACATGAAGAAGCATTAATATTTTCATCACGTGATCTAGAAATTCAATTTCGTATGTCAAGACCATTAACTGATTTTATGGCATCATTACATCGTAATGGTACTGATGAACGTAAATTGGCACGTTTTATTTCCGTATTTATTGATGATAATGATAATTTAGTTTCATTTCGTTTAACATTTCCCGATGAAGGACAATATGGTTTAGATATTTATACACGTGAACAATATTCAAATGAACAAATTTATCAAAATAATATTGATAAACAATTATTAACACATTGTTGCAAATACCTCATTAATGTATCATTTGCTGTTAAAGTTAAATGAAACTTTAACCCTTTCTAACCTAATTTTCCTAATTTATTTTCTAGTTAAATCATCATCATGTATTATATATTATTGAGAGAAACACATATACGAGGTTTTTTTGTGGTAAAGATTTTATTTTTTAAATTTTTGTTTAAAAAAATTTTTTTGTTGAAAATCATGATTAATTAATTATATTTACATTCAAAACAAAACAAAAAATGTTCAGAATAAATGAATGAATGAATGAATCAAACATCGGGTGATAATTTTGGAAATGGATTCTGTTTGGATATGACCAATTTTTGATGCTGTAATGAAATATAGCCTTTTAGTTTATTATCAGCAATAAGATTAGCCAATAGGCAATGTATTTCTTCCAATGTTATTTTATCATCATCAGCTAATTCAATTCGATTACGATTTGATTGATAATAATTAATAGCATCGACAAAATATTGTAATGCAATTTGATGTGTTTGAACAATTTTCGCCACTTTTTTGAATATATTACGATAAACTAATATTTTTAATTTTTCCAATGTAAAATAAATACCATAATTGTAGAAAAATTCTGAATTTGTTTCGATAGCCTGATCAAATTCATAAAGATTACCTTCACGAATTGCTGCACATAAACTATCAAATTGTAGTAGATCATATTGTTGTAGAATAGTTTTGGTTGGCATACAACCGGAATATAACATTTTAACTGGTATTAAAAATATCAATATTATACGACGATTTTTATCCATTTTTCGTTGACATTGTTCAAAGGCAAAACTTAATAAACGATCAGCTTTACGATAATCCGAATCATATAATGATTTCATACCAGTAAAATATGAATAAGTAACACGTTCGGCCAATGTAAAATGTTCATCAATATTTGCATTTTCCAATGCTCGAACCAATGGTTTATAGAGATTTAATTTATTGATTTTAAAATAAATCTTAAACAATTGATTGATAATATTCATCATTCCTTTACGTTTACTAACTTCGATCGATGTACGAGAATCATTGGCACAAGCACGAAACAGGCTCATCAATTGTGATGCTGCTTCTTCAATGTTAGCATCCGGCTTGACAGCTTTCGCATTGGTATTGGTTGAAGCCATTGAATCGGCACATATGGCTAATTTTCGAAGTTCAATTGCAGCAACATAAACAACCGGCAGCATCCAATTTTCTTCTTTTGATTGTGTCAAAACTTTAACCAATGATTGTATCATTGAACATTGATCACCAAATGCTGTTAAATAATTTCGACCACTTAATAATGATTGTAATGACAGAAAATGATAATGAACAACATCATCCCATGGTGTATCCAATATTTTTCCCAATGAATTTTCCCAATTTGAATTTCCATTCAACAATACATTACGAATTTCATTTGTTAAGGAAAATTTTTCCAACGATAATATTGTTGATAATTTATTACCATCTTGTTGATTGATTAATGATTTTATTTCATAAAATAATGAATTTAATGGATTATTTTTGAAACTAAAATTATTCATTTTTCTTTCAAAAAATTTTTTATTCAAAACGAAAAAAAGACAAACATCAAAACTCGAAAAAACATGAATCTCACAAAAAAATCCAATTCATACTTTGAAAGTTATTCTTTAGTCGAATCAGTAAACGATCAAATTTTTTTTTTGTTTCTGTTGATAAATTGGCCATGATTTTTTTGTTTCTCTTCTTCACATGCTACTCATGATTTCTATCGAAAAAAAAACTTTAATGAACAGTAATGAATGAAAAAACAGGATAGAAGATAAGAACCTATTATATTGATGATGATTTTAATGATTTGAATAAAAAAAATCTACATACAATTGTACCCTTGTAACGATTAATTTAATTAGATTTTTTTCGTTATTCGAAGAAGCCATTTGATCAATCAATCCTCCGGAAACAAAACACATATATCGTTGGCCATTCTGTTTTGTTTTGTTTGAAGAATCATCACCAACCGAAAAAAAATGAATTTTAAAAATAATATTGTTATTCATATGTTTTTTGGCTTAACATTTTTCATTTCAGGCCTGTTTATCAATGTAATTCAATTCATACTTTATAATACATTAGCATGGTTCGATATACAACGTTTTCGACGAATAAATTTTTATCTAAATTATTCAATGTGGTCACAAATTGTTGCATTAGCACATTGGTGGGCTGATACTGAATTAACTATTTATTATCCGGATGAAAATTCATTAAAACTTTCCGCACCAAATCATATGCTTTGCCTTATGAATCATTCATTTGAAATTGATTGGGTTATGTCTTGGTTAGCTGTTGATCATTATCAAAAACTTGGTAATGCAAAATCATTTGTAAAACGTTCAATACGTTTTATACCGATTATTGGTTGGAGTTGGATATTTGGTGAATTTGCCTTTCTTGAACGTAAACTACAAAAAGATTCAGCAAATATTGTGAAAGCATTGAAAAATTTTCTACAATTTGAACATCCAACATCATTGTTATTTTTTGCTGAAGGTACAAGATTTACTGAAAAAAAACATGAAACTAGTATACAATTTGCTAAAGAACGTGGTCTACCTGAATTAAAATATCATCTATTACCACGACCAAGAGGTTTTAATCTTGCTGTTCAAACATTCAAAGAAGAAAGTATGTTTTGTTTTATATAAAATTAAATTGATTTCTAATCACGGCTTTTGTTGTAATTTAAAGAGGAAAATGTTCTAGTCGCTCAGATTCAATTAAGATTTCCGAAAAATCAACCTGAACCAACATTTACATCATTATTAAAGGGTGAAAAATTAAAAGCCGATATGTTTATACGTATATTTCCATTGACTGATATTCCTACTGATTCGGAAAAAGCAACCACTGATTATTTGTATAAAATTTATCAGGATCAAGTAAGTCACTTATTTCACGATTCTTCATTGATTGATTTGAATCGACAAAACCAAACAGGATGAATTGGCCGAATATCATGCAAAAAATGATTGCTTTCCCGGTGTTAAAAAAGTAATTCATCGTCGTAAAGAATCATTACTAAATACGATGGCATGGACCGGGATTACAGCAATAATATTGCCATATCTTTTAGGAAAAATTGTAATCAACAGTAGTTGGCTTGTTGTTGGAATCATTGCTGCCGTTATCGTACTTGGTTTGATTTCAGTCAAAATAATGATCGATTCGACCAAAGTAAATAAATCATCATCCAGTTATGGTATGGAAAATCAAAAGAAACAACAATAATTCCGAACAATTTTATAAAATTTATCATCTTTGTTTCTTTGTTATAAAAATTTTTTTTCTATGATGAGAAAAAATGAAAAGAATTTCCAAACTGTTTTTTTTTCCAAATTGAATTAATAAATATTTCTAAAATTGATAATATATGAATATGATGTTAATATGGTTATGTTAAAAATGAATCAATCAATCAACCACTCATAATATGCCGAACAAATTCTTCATAATGAACATTGCCATGATTATCTTCTTGGCCGGCTAATAGCTGTTCAACTTCATCATCGGTTAATTTTTCGCCCAATGTTGTGAGTAGATGACGAAGTTCGGCAGATGAAATGTAACCACTACCATCTTTATCGAAATGTCGTAATCCTTCAATAAAATCTTCGGCCGTATCTGTTGATCTTGATTTGGATATTGTCTGCAATATCGGTAGAAAAACTTCGAATCCAATTCGTTCATCTATAGCGAAAATTATGTTATAAATAAACAACAACATTTATCATAATCATACCGGGTTTCAATTGACTGGAACATTTTTTTACATCATTTTCGGTTGGATTCTGTCCCAATGCTCTTAATACATCACCCAATTGTGATACGTTTATTTTTCCATCACCTTTATTATCAAACAAAAAGAATGCCTCTTGAAATTCTAGAATTTGATCTTCACTAAAGTTAACCTGTGATGAATGAAAAATGTGAACATGAAAAAATCAGAAAAATATATGAAAAAATAATTTTACATACCATAGTTGCCAAGTTACAAACCCAAAATAATTTTTGGAAAAAAATGATTTTTTTTCTGGTTGTTTTTAATCCAAATCTGATGGTTAATCACCAATGCAATGCAATAAAAAAAAACAACAGAAACAACAGGCATCAAATAAAAAAAAATGAACTAAATGAACAAACCTGTCAAACGAGTGCTCAACTATACCACTTTTTCACGTTTTCATTAACGGAATGTTCGATTTTGCCCAAAATGTACACGGATAATGAAATGAATGAATAAAAACTTACGAAACACAATTGATAGATGGCGTTTAAATTTTGGCGCAATTTTAAAATATTTACAATATTGAAAAATGTGTGAAATCAGGATAAAATTGTTTGGTTTTGTCGAAATAGTCATTCATTCATTCATTTTGTTCATTTTTTATTTTGGAAAAAGAATTCGGAATTTATTTTTATTTTTTACAAAAAAATGATGATAATTTTCATCATCAATATCATTATTTATTTGATTGACTAGCTTGACACACACATACATGTCGAAATGATATAAAACAATGGACAAGGGAAGATTTTTTCTTTTTGGTGGTGATAACAGGATATGATGATTCATTTGGATACGACAAAGTCAACAAATGAATGGGATTTCATTTCAAAATAGCAAACAATATTTTTTTTCAATAATGACATTCCAAAATTCAAAGAATAATTTTTTTTTGATATGGAAAACAAAATTATTTACAAAAAACAAAACAAAACAAAAAAATTGTTTTCAATTGATGGTTCGATGTGCGAATGCTCAGTGTGTTATTCGAATTCGAATGAATAAATGGGAGGGGGTGTGTGTGTGCGAATGTTATAAACCCTGATGACTGAGAATAATGTGACGAGCAGAGGAGGGGGTGAAAATACCAAAATGAAATTCTTTGGTTCGAACATTGATTATCATCGATTATCATTATCATCATCATCATCATCCAAATCTTCATCAACATCATCGTCATTATCATCGATACTATCATCAACATTATCCATTTCGATATTAAAATCTATGGAATGTTGACTTTGTTCTTCTTCTTCTTCTTCTTGATCGGAATGAGAATTGTCACCATAATTATCATTGAATGATTTAATTTGATCATTAATATGATTATGATTATTATTATTATCATTATGATGATTATTATTGTTTATCGATATTGTTATGTTTGATTCATCACTACCGGTTAAACTGATTGCACCACAACTATCCATCATTGATTGTTGTTGTGTACCATTTCGAATAATATTGGAATTTTTTCTTGAACCATTCGAAGTACGTCTCCATTCCATTAGTTGTTTTTTCCATTTAGTTCTGTAAGTGTGATGAACGAACGAAAAGTAAATAATAAAATATCAAATCAATGAATATCATCATCATTATCATTGTGTTTTACCTTCGATTTTGAAACCATGTTTTGATTTGAACTTCGGACAAACTTAGGGCACATGAAAGCTCGATTCGTTTACTTACAGTCAAATATTTATCATTCTTTATAATAATAATGAAAATTGTCCAAAATTATAATTAGCTCATCAAAATACAAAACAAAATTCAACTTACTTGAAATTCAGATTCAAGACGTTCCAATTGTTTAGTATTGTACGCTTGACGTGGTCTTCGTTCATTCATAACAAATTTTCGACCATTATTATTATTATCATTTTTATTATTATTATTACTATTGGAATTATTATTATTCGTTTTCAAATCATTCATCCCAACTTTTTTATCATTCAATTTATTAGCCGAAGATGGCGTTGTAATCGTATCGAATGTAAGTGATTTTAATGTTTCGCCCGCCATATCCAATAATTTTGAATGTTTTTTACCATTATTGTTGTTGGTCGAAGAATAATTTTGTTGTTGATGAATGATATCCGAAGATTTGATCGATGTTACAGGCATTGTTGTCGTAGTTGTTGTCGTCGTCGATGATGATGATGAAAATTTATCACCACCACCACCACCCATATTAGCAGGAATATTATGTAATGAGCTATCATTTTGTGACATTGCTTTAAATAACATCATTGATGATATATATTGACAATATGCAAATATATCTAATGCTGCTAATTGTTGTTGTTGTTGTTGTTGATGACTATTTGCTGATGATCCAATCGGTAATTGTGAATGATATGATACATTATTATCATTACCATCAATCAATCCGAATAGATTTGGTTTAAGTGTTTCAATAATATTTTTATCATGCATTACTTGATCAGCTGCCGTTTGATGATGCATAAGAACATCACCTAATTGTGTAAGTTTATTATTGGCACGTTGTTGTTGTTGTTGATGATTATGTTGTTCACTTTCGCCATTCACGCCAATCTTATCACTCATTATATTTTTGATTGAAAACTTTTTTACAATTTTAAGAAAAAAATTTGTAAAAAAATTTTTCAAAAAAAAAAATTCCGTAAACACTTACTTTGAGATCCATAATTTGTTTGATAAATTTTTGGTTGTTTAATCGCTGAATTGATGATCAACACTGATTTTCATTTTTTTTTTTTTACAAAAAATGAAAACTTGTTCGAGATGTCATTTAGTCAAATTGTCGATTTTTAGTTTTAGTTTCACAGTTAGCTAAGCGCCAACCCAAGAGAGAATTGAAAATTGATTTTGATTGGTTCGTGTATGTTAGACAACAACTATCAAAATAGACCAAAATTTGCGATTGCCTAATTTACCCTAAAAAAATCCAAATTCAAATTCAATAATTTAATAGGTTGCAGCAGCAGAAGCAGTTTAACAGTTTAGCAGAAGATATCCAAATGAAATGAAATGAAATGAATGTAGCAGCTGTAAAATAAAAGAAGAATAACCGACATCTGCAACAACGACAAATAACGATTAAGTTTTTTTTATTTTATTTTATTTTGTTACAAACAGAATCAATCTTGCTATATTGGATGGCTGGATGGCTGTTAATATAAATATCGAACCAATAATAATAATAATCATAACATCATCAAACAAATCTGCCTCTGATCTGTTATGTTGCCCGACAAATGGCCATTCATTCATTCATTCATTTCAGCCAAACAAATGAAGTGGTGAATGGTGGTGCAATTTTTTGAGAATCGCGCGCGCGAATTCTCTCAATAGATATGATATAAATCTTTGGGTATTATCTCTCTCTCTCTATATATATGATGGTGTATACGTCTCCAAGGCTAAAATATCCTGGTTGTAAATAGTGGTGGTAATAATGGTGGTGGTGGTGGTGGTGATAGCATCCTTATTATCCCCTTCTTGGGGAAAAAAATCATTTTTTTTTATTGCAATGTTTTTATTGTGTTATAATAACTGTAAATCATAACAGTTTCCTTTTCTTTTTTCCCCCTTTCCAATGATAATAACTATTATTTATAACACTGATTTGCTGATGTCACCAATTTTTTTTCATCATCATCATCATCATCAAATCAAGATTCCAATAGAAAATTGAATTCCAATTGAACAAAAATTTGTTAGTTGAATCAGGATTCGATTCCCTTTTTTTTATTTCATTAAAGGTTTTCTCCATCATCATCATCATTATTATCATCAATATTATTGCCCAAATATACTCAGTGAATCTATTGTTATGTTTTGTTGGACAATAAATTCCACGCCTTGGATCACAAATTGTGTGTGTGTGTGTATGTTTAGTTAGTTAGTTAGTTATGACTCTATTATCTCTAAAATAGACATAGTGTGTGCTAATATGTCAAGATGCTATATATATTATAAAATGAAAACTAAATGGATACATTTTCGTTTTCGTTCCCCCCCCCAGATTCACTTTACCAAAAGATATTTTGGTTAGTGTAAGTAAAGTAAATTGAACATTTTGTCGTTGTACTAGGTTCGGTTCAATTTCTCAAAGTATGTGTAATTGATGGCAATCACAAAACACTTAACAAAAAGATATAGAGTGAACGAATTGAGAATTGAAGAATGAATTGCCCAATTGTAGACCAAAGTATTAAATGCCTATCATGGATCGGTGTGTGTGTGTGTTCATATGATAAAATTCTACTTTATCAAAAAAAACTTAACATTTTTGAAATGATTTTTTTATTATTATTTGAACATTAATTGTCGTGCGCAATGTACCATATCATCATGATCATCATGAATGAAATGAATGGTACAATTAGAGAGAGAGAAAAAAACATGTGTGTGTGTGTGTGTGGGCCCATAGTGTTTAAATTCAAGCATCATCATGATTGTTACTTCCATTTAAATTAGTTAAACGATTATCGAATGAAAAAAAGAAGATTCTTTCTCTCTCTCTCTCTCTCTCTCTCTCTCTCTCCCTGAAGAATGGCGCCCTGTCTATATAGACATTTTTTATTTTGGTCGTCGTTTAGCAGATTAATTTCCCTCAACAAAAAAAAAATGTCTCAATGTTATATATGTTTGCGTTATCTACATTTCTACAAACACAGGCCAGACTAATTTAGACAAAAACAATAGCCAATTATATCTGGTTATAATGTGAATTGAACGCGCAAATGAGAGAGAGAGATGGATCGAAATCGATTCCGAATTTCAAGAATTTTAATTTTCCAAAACTGGCAGTTAAAATGACGAAAAAATCAATGTTAATAATTTCGACATTTTGAAAACTTAATCCTTTAAAATTGTTATTATGAATTTGAATCAAATTCGATCGAATATTTTTAATGGATTTTTGACAGCCAAAAAAATGAAATCCTTTTTTTTTGTTATGCAGACAAACGACAAAACACTGATTAAAAAATGTGTTTTGACAAACAACAACAACAACAACAAATCAACGTTAATTTTTGGTGAAAATTGTTTAATTTTTTTTGTTGTTGTTGTCAAATTCTTTACGGAAATGGGACAACTAAACTAAACTAAAATATCAATTGTCATAATTGACAGAATTCAATGGCTAGGCCTACTTAATAGAAAAAATCCATTGGAAAGCAAGCAATACAAAACAAAAAAGTTTCAAACAAAGCAATAATAATAATATGTTTAAATGATATTGGTTGGTCGTTTGTTGTGATATATAGAGAGAGAGAGAGAAAAGAAAGATATAAATGACAATTATGTTATGTTATTGACAAAGAAAAAAAAAGGAAGAATCTTTGAACATTCTTTCGTTTGGATTTTTCTTTTTTTTGTTTTGTTGCTGAATCCTGTTTTCCAGAAAATCGTTGACATTCTTAATGGCCATTATTTGAAAGCAGAGAGAGAGAGAGAGAGAGAGAGAGAGAGAGAGAGAGAGAGAGACTAATAGAACGCATCAATAGAAATAGATTCTTTTCTCCCC